TTATCTTTTTTTAATGTCCTTATAAAGCGTCAAATAAATGATATAGTCAGCGGGCGAAACTTTTGTCGTCGACTAAATGTAACGCGAAAAACAGCGAATTTTTAATATAGTCACATAAGAGGTATTAAGACATATTTCGGCGTTCACAAGCGTGACGCGATGACGTTTTGCCCACAGTTTCTTCAGTTTCTTTTAGAAACTAGACCACTTAGAAATTTGATTCTTTTATTAAATGATACGTCTCTCTACTCTGTCACAATTCCTGAAAAGCAGAGCTCGTTTGTCTTAGGCGTTTGAAAATTCTAGCAAAAACACTGAGCAAAACGCGATGATGAAAATTAGACAAAAAGTTGAGGATGATGTGTTTGTTCGTTGTTTTTTTCTGAATACGCACTACGATGGAAAAAGCGATTCATAAGGACTTTGTAGCCGACACTGTGGGGTATCCGGCGAAAAAATAAAATTGTTCAAAAAGATCATTTACTGGCTTGTTATTTCGGTTTAATTAACATAACGCGATGATGATTTTGTAACGCGATGACGAAAATCAGTAAAATGCGCTCTCTTTTTTCCTATCGAAATCTTATTGATGATTGACAAATATGAACAGAACCACCTTTTCTTAGAACAAAGAAGAGATTTCGCATACTTTGAGCTCGGTCCTATTTGACGGAAGTATTGATATTACAACTCGGTTTTTTAATTTTCCGGCACTAGAGTTGACGCGTTACGAATTTTTGCCGATATTTAACTGGAAGAACAATCGGATAAAATGGTCGATATCTGGCTCATTGAAAACATCTGGAGTCATATTAAACAAAAATTAGAAGGAGAAAAAATCGAAAGTTTAACAATCTTGGAAAAGAAATTGTAAAAATTTGGAGAACCATTAGTCCACAAATGTGTTCAAAATTGATAAACTCAATAGAAGAAGTTTACTGTGTTTAATTGAAGAAAGATGATTATCCAATCAACAAAAGATCTATGATGACATGAAAATGTAAAATAATCTATTGTCTGTTATTGTATAAATAGTGAAAGTGAATTATTTTAGATGTTTCTTATGAATAAATTTTTTAAAACTTTTTTGGGACATGAGAAAAAAATCTGCTCTACCACACGACTATATATCTTCCGTATAATAAAGATTAGAGGTCTGAAAATTTCGAGTAATATTCGTCTAGTTACAAGGAATTAGACGTCCCATTTTGAGCGTTATCGGATTTGTAATAAGGGAGAACGAGTAATTTTTCTAAGAAAGGAGAAGACTTTTGAATCACCCTTTATCGTATTTTCTCTAATTGTACTCTCTAGTAGTCTGTCGTTTCACGCCTTGTAATTTTATCCTAGGAGTTATACAATTAAAGCAATTTAGATATGACCATGTCACTTTTTAATAAGCATTCAGATCGAAACTTAATCGAGTTTAATCCACTAGAGATCGAATTTAGATGAGAACTCCTCAAGTTCTTATAGCAGCAAAAATTTTAGGAGTAACAACAACGAAAGAAAAGTTGAATTTGCTCACTACTATGTTTTCCTACTTTAAAAGTTTGAAACAATACAGGAAAAAAATCGAAAATTGAGCAAATCGTTGTTGAGCAAGATCCAAATGTAATTTATTAAGATCACGTTTAACATTAATCATTGCAGGTTTTTCATTAATTTATTTATCTTTGTGACCCCATTTAAGATAAAATCGTGCTTCATGAACAACATCAATGTGATGTGAAACTAATTCATCATAACCTCTATTTGAACTAATTGAACAATTAGCCATAGCAAGAATAGCTGAATGTGAAAGAACATCTTCGACTGATCTTCTTTCACTTTGACATGAATTATCATGTGTTTGATCATAAAACGATGAATATGTTTTACTTGATAATAATGGACGAACTTTTGATTGATCAAATAAACCCATTGGATCTTCTTTACTAACTGATGATGCAATTCGACCCAATTCATATGGATCAAATACTCGATATGATTAAGAAATAGTTTTATTAAAAAAAAAATTTCTTAAATGAATATTGATTTACCTCTGGCCAATGAATTAATTCCAATTTGATTAATAAAATGAATATCTATTTTTAGATTTCCTGTAAAAGTTCAGCATTAATATAAAAGTTGGGATTAATTTGTCTTGCATAATGCATCATTTTTTGTGCTAACCATAAAGGTGTCGAATAATAATTATCAAGACAACAACCATGAACTGTTGTTGCTACAAGATGAGTATATTTTTTCATATATGAATATAATACTGGACAATTTTCACGTTTTCTACCAAAACGAAGTTTAATTATATCAAACCATGAAATTGAATCTCGACATTAATAAACATCTTGACCTTTTTATAAAAATCAATTCAATTAAAATTAAATTACAATCCTGCATAAAAGTATCGACATCAGATAAAAATCATATCTAAACAATTTCATTTCAGATTTTGAGTACAAATAGAACTTGATGAACTCTAATAATAAGCTATAATTCGAACTAATATACTGATTTTGAAATGATCTAAATTCGAAACTTCACTAGATCGAGTTGATTTTTTATATAATGCATGAACTCGTGTCACACTTATCATTCATCATAAAAAACGATTCTAATCTTATTAAGTAGACATGAAATAACATATGAAAAGATCAATTCATTGATAATTGCTTTAAGTCTTTCCTTCGTTAGTTCGATGACAAATAAATTTACCAAGATAGGACGATGTCGTTTTGTGCATTATTAATAAAATTTATCAGAACGAAAGAAAATACTATTTATTCAAAATGAAAGATATTTTCTTAGTTTTTACTTAATATGGACTTCAAACACATAGATTGATATTTCAAGCATGGTCAATTGAGTTCAACTATCAACTAAATTTTTTTTTAAATGAACAAACAAAGATAAAAATCCTGAATAATTTTGTGAACAATAACTCACAAAGCGTCTCAATCGATTTCTATTATTTTCCAAAAAAGATAAGGTCAGACAATAGGATGATACTGCATATATTGATTTGTATACTCAAATCTTGACGAAAATCAACACTTGTGAAATATTCATGAGAGTTCACATTGATGTTTTGTGTATTATGAACAAGACAAAAAAAGATTAATCATGAATAACCATAATTTATGTCTTATTTGATATAATCGGTGGTATGTTGTCTGATAGGAACATGTAATTATTTTTGTTACGTGAAAAAAAGTAAGGAGGGATAGATAACTATTAATGAGTAAATTGAATAGTAAAAGAATTTAATTATTGTAGATGATCTACAGTATGACATTCATACATGAACGAAAATAATAAAAAATCGATAGATTCTGCAGATAAAAGAGATTAACGTATGATCTATTTTATGTTACGAAAATGATTCTTCGGACACTATGAATTTTAAGTTTAGCTAGTTATTTTGAATCTGAAGATTTCCTTTTCTTACAACTGAAATTTTCTATTTGATATATTTTTTTATTCAAAGAAAAAGATCAATTCTTTTACATTTCTTTAAAAACAAATGGGTGCACCAGAATGAATGAACGTCTCAACATTTTGGTTAATAAAAATTGCTCGAAATTAATGTCCTACACAAAAAACAAGATTTGCGAATACGAAGTCATGTTTTTCTCTCAAATCTGAAAGAAAAACAAATTAAGCTCTATTTTTCTGGGTTGACATAATATGTTTTTGGCTCTAATATAGATATGGATCATAATAGGGCTCATTCAATATGATGTACCAACGCTTATAAAAAACACATGTTTAGACCAAAACTTTACGTACTTTCGTTTTCCTATTGAACAATATATTACTGCAGTACTTGTCAAATCATTTTTTTTTATTTTCTATTTTTTGCAAAAAGAATTCAACCAAAATGATAAAAAATGACAGAATTATTGAGAGACTCATTCATTTCACCGTACCCGTTAAAAATCAAGAATTCGTGAAAATAGAAGAATAATCTTCAAATTAGAACTCCAATTCCTCAAAGTAAATGTGTTTTTTTAAATTTTAACCTTCGTCTGATTCTTGACCTATCAGTACTTCTATTAAAAAAAAACAATTGTTCGTGAATCGTTTTCTAAGAATAAAATTATCGTAAAAAGTGAAATCATTTTTAAAAAGTTGGACTGATTCAGTATCGAAAAAACCGAAAGACGAATTCTGTTAAATCTAGATTTCCGAAATCAGTAGATATTTGTTGGAATTTATAGGAATACGTTGCAATATTCTCTCGAAGAAGAATGAACGATCCATTTCAATAAGAGTTTTTCTCTTTTTTATATTAGTTTGATATGGGAATTGTTTTCTTCGAGATCATGTAAAATGAAAAAGAAAGATAATTATTAACATTTCTATCGTCAGTCATTGTAGGATTGTTTATTGAAACATGCAAAAATCAATCGAAAACAAAAACCAATTCATAAGTTAATATGAACTACAAAAGAAAAAAAAGGGTACATTTAACAACAAAAAAGTGATTTGAATCTATCCAGTACAGTAGAATTCAGATCGATCGTCAATACGACGTTGTCTGTTAAGAACAATATCTCGTTTATTATCAAACGGTAATCTCGAATCGATCTGTATTCAAATAGTCCCATACTGTTCTATACTGGTATCCGATATGTATTCTAATTTTTTTTGTAATACGTACACGAAACGCAAGCTATTGCATGCTCTCGAATAGTTTACAGGAAAAGCTTTAAATATGCTAGTTACCATTTTAGTTGCACTAGAGACGAATATTTTACAATCCATTTAATATCTACTGTAGAAGTAGCATACCCTCATCATTTAGTTATCATTATACCTGCAGCATGCCGCCAAAAGTAATTTCATAAGTCCTATATTATTCTAGAGTTAGTAGACTAATTTGATGAAGACAAGACACAACCCCACACCCACACCCTTTTTGAGTGAGGAACATTTACGTTCCGAAAAATGATTTATTAAGCTAGTTAGTCAAAAGGTTAGACTGTTTCTTTGTATCGATTTCCAGTTTGCAGTCAGAATTAAAATTCTGTATAGTACTTTTACGAAAAACTTTCAAACACAATCTTTTTAACCATCACTTCACGTCAACTAATGATAAAATTCGTGTAGTATTTGAAATAGGAGTAATTGATAACAGAATAAAACAACTTTGTTGACCTGTCAACAGAAAACATCTTTTTGGAAAAAATGAAAAATGCATATAAATGAACGAATTGATAGCATTTTAACAATTATTCTCATTGTTGCGATGCATATTACAGACCAACTGACTAATAAAGACTCAATTAAATAAAGAAATAAACATATGTGTTTGATTTACTTTTTAAAAATGGCTATTTACTAGCATATTCTATGATTATACAATTCACAAAAGTTATAGGTAATAAAGACCACAGAATACAATGGCTGATAGGAATCAGTTAAAACAAAAAAAATCATTGAGATAAAGAAGTTACAATTTTGATTGATTTGTTACTATTCATTTCTTAGTAACAAAAATTTCACAATAGAAAAAATTACAAAAAGAAGAATATTTATAAACAACTCTTGCGTCTAGATTGTGCAGAAATAAAGAATTTGATAGAGCCAAGCGGGGCGAATCAAGAGACCTTTTTAAATTTTTATCTTGTTTTATTCATATCTTCGTCGTTTCGCACGATGGAAAAAAATTTTCTTCACAAACAATATAGAGAAAACATTTTTCTTCAAGCTCCTGCTTTCAGATTTTGAAAATCTTGTCGGATACAGAACTTACGCTAGTTTTCCTGAGACCCCTAAAGCATTATCGATTCGCCCCAGCTTGGGGCGAATCAAGAATCACACATCTATAAGCGGGGCGAATCTGGAATCGCATTGAATTTCAGCTTTGACAGTAAAATCAAAGTTTCTCCTCCATTTTTAATCCGATTTCAATAATTCTTTCACCAATATGTAGCTCAATCATTTCTCTACAATCCTAACATAAGTTCACCTACAACGCCTTCAGGAAGTCTGAGAACGAAATCTTTTCGTGGAACCACCAAGAAAAAAAAAATTCTTGATTCGCCCCACATGGGGCGAATCTAGAATTACATATATATAGGCGGGGCGAATCTAGAAACTCAGTTATTTTTAATGGATCTCATAAATTTAAATTTTTTATTGCTTGAAAATGTTTTATCAATTTATTATCTATGAATAAAATGTTCAACTCATCATCCTCTATTGTTCTATGTTACTTCTCCCCCTTTATCGAATACAAAATGGAAGACTCATAGTTTAGTAATGCCAATGATGGCAGAGTACATGGGAATAAAACTCAGTGACCAAAAAGAATCATTTTATTTGAGTACTGATCGTCAATGTTGCATTTTTCTTTCCTCGTCATATAATAATTTAACATAAAGAATAGAACAGAACAATGAGAAGTGATCCAATACGGAAGAAAAGAATCGTAAAGGAGGAAAAGAAATGACGATAGAAATGAATCGTGAACTTTCTTTGTCTTATTGATGTATCGCATATAAAAGAGCAAGTTATTTGTTACTGCTGCCATTATCATCTCACTTCCTGTTGTATTGCATATCTTCGTTTTGTTATCGTTTCATTCACAGAGATCAGTATTTTATTAATCAATGTTTTAATTTATATTTTACCTAATCTATATTTTATTACTCGATGTTTTGTTAATTAGTATTTTATTTATATCTTATTCATATGGTTCGAAATTACAAAAGAAAGACCGTGTCTAAATACACGGAATCTGATTTGCAAAGAGCGGTCAATGCTATTGAAAACGAGAATCTTCAACCATCTAAGGCTGTATGCCAATTGAACATTCCTTTATCAACGCTTTATAGTCGACTCTCTGCTAAACGTGATATGCTTCCTCGTGGGGGGCAAACAATTTTATCCAAGGAAGAAGAAGCATTTCTTATCCATACAATTGAAACATTCGAAAAATGGCAATTACCATTATTGCGAAAATCAGTGATAGAGATCGCAAGATCATACATGCTGGAGCTTGGGAAAAAAATTAGTTCAACTGCTGGTCTTAATGATTGGTTTTCTGCATTTATGAAACGGCATCCTGAGCTGAAGGTCATAAAAAGTGTTAAATTGGAAAAAAATCGATCAATGTCTTGCACTCCACAAATAATCAGTAATTCTTTTAATCATTGATTGCTCTGTGAATAAAAAACTTTTTTGCCTATTTTGCAGAAGGATGGTTCAAAACTCTTCATCCTGTTCTTGTTAAACACAAGCTACTGGATAGACCGAATGCCATATTTAATGTGGACGAAGCCGGTTTTTGTGACGATCCGGGTCGTCAGTCTGTTGTAGTCAAGCGATCGACGAAGTATCCTATTTCGTCACATTCTGGCACAGGCAAAAAATTCACCACAGTGCTAATGTGCACCAGTGCGAATGGAAAGTGAGTTTTTCTCTTATTTTCTTAATCGTCTGAGCTAACAATCTGTTCTTTCAGAGTTCTTCCACCGTATATTATCTATCAAGGTGTACATCTATGGAGTGCATGGATTTCCAGAAACTGCTTTCCTGGAACAAGGTTTAATGCTAGTTTGTCCGGATGGGTGGAAGAACATATATTCTTTGATTGGTTAAAACAGCACTTTGTTCCATATGTTCAAGATATACGAAAACCGGTGTTGCTTATCTTCGATGGACACAAGGCCCATATAAGCAGTCGAATTATCAAGACAGCTATGGAACATGGTATTGAACTTATTTGTCTGCCTCCACATAGTACTACAGTGTTACAACCACTAGATTTGGTTACACTCACAAAGGTGAAAACTGCATGGCGGCTCATACTCAATACACACAACACCCAAACCAATTCGAAATCTATTGATAAGAAACGTTTCTGCTACTTGGTAAGTTAAGAAATTTTGTTAAATGAAAGTTCTTACTCCTATGAGTCTTTTGTTCCTTTTTTTACTTTACAGTTGAGTGAACTATGGCGAAATCATATTCTTCCAAGTCATTGCTCTTCTGGGTTCTCTCGGGCAGGCGTCTATCCATATGATCCAAGGGCCGTCACAAAGGAAAAACTTTTAATTCCTCCATCATCTTCAACATGCTCAAGTACTCAACTTGAATCTAACGACGATATTGGCCTGCTCAATCATCGTAACTGTCGTCTTAATCGTTCGTCTTCATGTAATGCATTTTCAACCGAGGGTGAGTAACAACATTTGAAAGAACTCCTCATAAACATACCTTTTCAGCTCTGGACGCCACTACTACTCCACTTCAACAAATCGCTCCTGTTTCAGCAACAAAATTAGCGATTAATGCCTCATCTATTAGCAATATTCAATATGGTAAGTCTATTAGTTTAGAACCACATTCTGTTCAAGCAACATTGAGTGGTTTGCTAGATATTCCAGTTTGTTTAAATGGCAATGATCATCATGCATCTTTGTCATCGATCTTAATGCCACAATCAACTGAAATTCAAAGTAAGAACGATTACTTTCAAGTATTTTATTAAAATGACCGAATTTTAGATTGTCCATCAACTTCAACAGTGTTTGGACAAGCTATGCGAACTTTGTACTCAGTCAACGACGAACATCCTTTTAGCAAGTGTATCAAGAGTAAATTTTCACAAAATTCATAATAGTTTGCTTTAGATGATGCATCATATGTCAATTTTGGTCCTCCCGGTCTCATTTCTAATGGAATTACAATGCTAGGATCTCGTGAGTTTATTTAGAAAGATGGGAGTACCTTGTCTTACCAATTTTTCTAGATGAACAATCATTAAATGCTGTGAGTATGGTTAACATCGACACTGCTCCAGCTCAACCAAATCCTCTCGAAGCAATTACAAATGCAATAAATGGATTTTTAACTCCATCAGTTCCACTTTCAAATGAAAAACGAAGATTTGTTCTGGAAAGACCATATGGTGAGAGCCTCACCTCGGTTGAAGCTCTTCGTAAAGTAAATGAAAAGGAAAAATTTGATTTTAAGCGTAAGAAACGTACTTCAATTGCTCGTGAAGAAAGAAAAAAAAGTGAAAAAGTTCGATCAAAACGGTAAGAAATTTATGAAATCGATACGAAGGAAACTATTTCAAGAAGTATTGACTAAAAAGAAGAGATGGAATCAGTTAGAATAGCTGCTGATTGTGAACTCATGAAAAGTCAAACTTAACAGATTGATATATATCCAAGCGTGTCTAATTTTCTCGCTAATAATTTGTCTTTTCAGTGGTCGAAAGCCTACGAATCGTGCTAAAAAAAATCTCGAATTAATGCATTTCGACGAACTTTCCAACGAAAATGATCCAACACGTGCGTCAATTATTTATTCTCAACAAACTACTTCTTCATGTGTACCATCAACAGTGCCTTATTTTACCCAAGCGGATGTTAATTTGCATTTTAATCAAACTGTAAATAATCCTTACTCATATCCTTTACCAACAGTGAATTGCTTTCGTTGTGATCAAATACTATTTGCTAATGGATATTATGCTAAATGTACAGGTTGTACGAAGATTTGTTGCTTTAGTTGTGCAAATGGATATTACAAGTCAACAACTACATATTTCGTGTGTGAACATTGCTCGCTTCATCGTTGTCTCATTTCTACTCAACTAATGTGAAATTAGCCAAACTTGTATTATTCTTATCATACTTGTTTTTATGAAAATATATTTATTTCAATGAATTTTTTATGTTCGATAAAGGGGGAGAAGTAACATAGAACAATAGAGGATGATGAGTTGAACATTTTATTCATAGATAATAAATTGATAAAACATTTTCAAGCAATAAAAAATTTAAA